CAAAAAAAAAATCAGAGTTGGGTAATTTCATGAATTGTGTAACTAGCTTTTTATTAAACTCCACGAGTTTGAATTTTATAATTTTCTAAAATTTTGGTTTTGAAGCCCGGTAAAGTCCACACAAAACAAATTTCATACATTTAGGACTTACGAAAATGTTCAAGATATATGTCCATGCACAATTCTTAACATTCTGAATGTTAAAATAAAAATAGTTTTGAGATCCCAAGCCCATATGTTTTCAATATTTTATAACTAAAAAAAAAAAACAATTAGTAAGTATAAATCAACGAAATTAGATCAATTGTTATAATTCTAAGGTTAAGATAAAATTTGTAAGATCCTTTCTAGGTAGTCTCTTTTTTTATTCTAGTGAACTATGAATTTTTATAATTATAATATGTTTGATATAATCAAAAAATTCATTTAAAAATCCACAAAATAAATACTAAATGTATGAAATACTTCAAATCACCACGTATATCGTACGGGTTAGGCAAAGAGTCTGCGTTTGACTTGCCTGTCGCATTAATGGCCTTTCGCTCATTTTCAACTTCTATTCAATTTGCATACTGCCGTACTCTAACGGAAATATGTACCTACACTCTTCTAAAACCATTCTCTAGCTAATAAATTATCACACTAAATCTTCATGTTAGATAGCATTTTCAACCAACTCTAACATTCGGAGTTATATATAAACACACACAAAAAGCACGGATTTTTTATGTGCTATGCCATTCAAACTATCCTGCAGCTGAATTCCAGGCATAAATAGTATCTAAAAGAAATAAATGCATACATATTGGGTATATGTAGAGATTTCTATCTCTTCGTTGAAAACTTTTGAATACTTCCTGAACAAGTTGAAAGAATATTTTGAAATTTTAAACTATTGGAGATCCTCAAAACTTGATCAACCTGCGATATTGTAAAAATATTCTGAGAACTTTACTAATGTCTTCGTCTACCTATATGGAGATCTTTTGAATATTTCATGATGTCTAAAAGAATATCCAGTAACTTATGCAACGTTTCCTGAACGTCTACAAAACTCCCTTAAGTTTTAAAAAATTTCATCAACTTCTACGAAATTCATGAATTTATTCCAAATTCTATATTTTTTCCATCTCTCTTAATTCTACTAAGATCTTCGTTTAATCAAAGTTCAAAAAACCTCCATGGAGCTAATGGAGCTTTTATGAAGTAAGATCTGAACTACAACAAAGTTCCCTAAACTGAAACGACGATACCTGAAGTTCTTAGAAGTTTATTGAACTATTTTTAGAACTTCCCTGAGCTTTTTCAAAATTCCTTTCAATTATATGAAGTTTTGCGCAGCTCTTCAAAATGCAACGAAATTTGCAAAACTTTTACATAGTTTGCTGCACTTCTACTTTTCTCGTTGATTTTCCGCGAAACTCCACCAACGAAATTTCTTGAAATCGTAAATTCCACAACTAGGGGAAACAGCCCTATTGTTGCGGTACGTTGGCAGCGTTAGAAGCCTATTGTTGTGTATGGAGGTCTCCACAATACACAACAATAGGCTTCTAACGCTGCTAACGTACCGCAACAATAGGGCTGTTTCCCCTATTCCAAGTCCATGAGGCTTCAAAAACGTAGAGGTTTACGAAATCAAATAATGTTTCCTTATCTTCTACAAAGCTCCTCAAACTTAAATAAATTTGCCACTTCTACGCAGTTTTCCGAACTTTTCCAAATTCCTTGTTTCTACGATCTTTTTTTCTAAAGATCTATGAATTTTCCAGAATTTCTACTAAGTTTCCTAAATTTCAACAATGTTAGAAAAATCTCTAGGGCTCATGGCCAATTTGTAGAGCCTGAATACCATCCATACCTTATTGTACCATCGATTAAATATCGATATAATATAATTTATCAAAATTGTTTCTTTTAGTCCATAACATAAGAATAATAGTCAACATTGTACTTTAATAAAATCTTTGTGCACCGTTAGAAAAATTCATGTAAATTTCTGCGAGATATAGCACACATAAAATTAACGCTAGATTTAGCATAAATTTACGCGATATTTCGTGTAAATTTAAGCGCAATATCGCATAAATTAGCAATATTGTAAAGACGATTTCACTGTTTATGCTAAGTATAGCTCAAAATTAAACGAAGGGAGATTTTACGCGATGGTTAAAATTCAGATTTTTTTTTTCTGTATGGTACAATTTTATAAATCGCTGGGTCAGAAAAAAAATCAACAAAATTGGGGGGACTAGATAATTCTGGAGGGAACCTGGCCCCCTTGGTACCCTCATAAGCTACGCCAATGATCTTCTGAGTATTTACAATAGGAATGTTCGTTTGGTATACATTTTCACAATCCATTTGGCTTAAAAAATTATCTCCGCTCATCTTTCCCTCTGATGATTTCTATTGCATAAATTATCTCCACTCATCTTTCCCTCTGATGATTTCTATTGCAGAATAATACGCATCATCGTTAAAATAACCTGGGTGGACCCAGATTAAGTAACCCCACCCTTTCCTATTGATTTCCAGTTATTTAGAAACATGAATCGGTGAAAAAACTGATTTTTAATGGAGATATTTTTATCAACAACAATGTCAATTTATATTTTGTCCTGATATATGAACCGCAATGAACCGAACAATGGACAGTCCAGTAGTCTAGATAAATTAATTTATTATTAAATATTACGTCTACTTTGCAACTTAATATATATGAGTTGTGATTCTAAAACTATACTAAACGACTATGATAAAATCTATATTATCTAGTGATAATCAACTTTTAAAAGTGTCAGGAACTTTTTTTAAACATTTATAACTTTAAGTCCAATCGAATTTTTGGTTAATCCGTCTTAAAATAGAATGCTAATGCTAATGCTTTATATCGCTATGATACAACTGAGAAGTTTAGAGGGAATTTAAATCTGCAACTGTAACCATCTTACCCCTAGCACTTGCCTGTTTTCTCCGCACTACCATTTGTAATGTTTAATATAAGTGTTAAGGTTTGAGATTTAAAATCACATGGTATATAATGCTTCCTATAGAACAAATTTTACTCACAAAATAAGGGTAATATAAGCAACATGGTTTATTTGTTGACGAAAAAACAATTACAATCCAAGAGGCAATTTCCATTTTTAAAACATTAGCAGTTTGGTTGGGCAAAACACACGAGCATTCAACGTGACCCTATTCACTCGTTTATGAATAAGCACTAGACTGACGCAAAATTTTAAATTTTCGCTCCACAGTGTTCAAACGGTTCCTATTTGGTTCCTGATTAGGCTTCCAAAATTTGAACTCATTTAGTAAGAAACTGACTTGGCACAAACCCCTAAATTCCCTCTATTACTCTGCTCTAAAAATTAATAACTGTACTTGTAGTAAATTTTCACAGCTACAACTTTGTTGGAGACCACTTATCGATCAAAAGCATAAAAAGCAATAAAAAGCAATAAGCAATAAAAAAAATTAATGATTCAAGTCACTGATGTCTTATGATTATGCTCAATCAACTATTCATCATGGCTACTATGTCACACTGCAGAATTCAGTGTTGCCCACAAAACAGTTGCTTGATCATGCCATAAGATTATCAATCTCTTAAACAATTAATAACTATTTAATTTGATGTTTGAGAGCTTGATTGACCGCCCACGGTTGCTACTCTGTTACTGCCAGATCAGCTGTAATTACACAGAGAACCAATAGACGATGCTTGGGACTAGCAATCATCCTCAATGTGTAAAAACTGGTGATCTTAAATTAGGCAATACCAGCGCCGGCCGCGCCCGAACACAGGTCAAGAAAGGAATGGGAAGGATTGTGTTGACATGACACTCGCTTTGATGGAAGCCGAGAACACCTCTGCACTTCCACGAGGAATCACTGGGATGTTGGATAAGAGGGTTGGGTTTGCAGCAGGGTTCGTTTTGGTAAACGATAAGCTGAATTGATGTCCTAACGATCATATAACGCGAAGGGGCTTGGGACTAAACCCACGGTCTTCTGCTCAGTAAGCAAAAACGTTTGCCACTACGCAGACGAGCACCTTTTTAATCACCGAGTTGCTGTTATTACCATGTATTAATTATTAACAAATAAAACGATTGACGAATCTTGAATGTGGATGGGCCTGATATTAGACTCATGATGTTCTGCTCAGTAAGCAAATACGGTTGCTCTAAGGCCACCGAGCCCCTCATATCACATAATACCGTTGCTCAAATTTGTGTATCCATTCAAACCCGGAACCAACGACAACAACGAGTTTCGCAAAATACACGATACACAAGTGATTTTACCATAAATCTCTTTGTATGACTTGGATAATATTGCATTGATTTAAAGCATATTCTAAAATCTTCGACAAAACTTTCACAAACTATCCCGAAGGGTATAGAATTAGGTTTCTACTACTAAAATTATGCCAACCCAATTCTGATAAAATCAGTCAGGTATATTAAGAAGTTTTCATACACAAAATATATTAAACCAGTTGCTTACGAACTAAATTTCAGTTAATACCTTTCAAATGACCTATAAATATCGAAAATCGGTCGTAAAATGGTAGAGTTATGTGGAAAAAACCTTTACATGTTTTTTAATGGGTGACCCCAAACTTATGATCGGGAGGGTATTAATGCATTATAATATACATTTGGCAACAAAAATGGTTTTTTTTTTTCTGATATTATAATTTACCCTTTTTGGTCAGATTAAAAATCGTCTTGTGTTGTGCTTAGTTATTTTGCCGCTTTTAAGCTATGTTGACAATTTAAGTGAATTGATGAGGTTTTTAGGTTTTTATGCATTTTAGATTATTTTTGGCAGACTTTCATGTGTCATATGTGCGTTAAGATAATTTTGGTCTTACAACACCTGTCTTCAAAATTGGTGGGTTTCGAGATTATGGAATTTTTAAAAGTGGGTTGCAATCGACGAACGTTTGAGAACCGCTGCTCGGAATAAAATGAAACACACATTACTACGCTAAAAAGAGTGCTTTATTTAGGCTAAACTTATATATATTTTAACAAATGATACACATTTAAACAAAATTTGGTAATTTTCAGATTTCTTAGTTTTAAAAGTGATTTCCAATCTTCAACAGATTTACAGAGAACGAGATTAGAAATCATCTCCTAGGCAACGGAAAGTATACGAAGTATTGTCGTGAGTTAGAGAGCTTGCATTTTTCCTATTCATATTGCATTATTAGGTTTATAAATCATTCACTCAATCATCAAATTTAGATCCCATTCCATTTGTTCAAAATATAAAGTTCCATAAAGCTTATTTACAACACTTACCTAGCAAACGAAATGAACTCTACAAACACCTCTCTGTTCATATTACACTAAAGCAGCTGATTAGATGACACACTCGTTCTCGTTCTATTGTTTATAACGTGGTTTACAACATCTCCTAACATTAAGTGATCGTTTCTAAAAAAAAGTGAATAAACTCCCTCGACTACTAGCGTACGATTTAGATTCTGTTCTAATTGCAGTCCTTATCTCTTGTTAAAATGCACCTTAAATCTAGACCCTTTTTCGGGAAGAAGATAAAGCTCAAACAGAGCGCATTGTCCAACCGTCTAGGCGGATTATTGTCATGGTGAATCATCACATGTAAATGATTTTCGGCTATTCGTTAAAGTCTTTTTGGTTCTTCCTGCATATTTGGCTTCTGAGCATGAGATTCTAAAATATCTTTTTCGTGTTTTTCTTGTCTCCACTTTCAGCATCTTAGCTTGACATGGAAACCACCGTAGGGCGGGTGATGTTGTGCTTGCATTCGAGGCCTTCCGGCGATTGGTGGTTCTGATCGTTCTCATCCGAAATGGAAGGGCTTCTGCTGTGGTTGTGCAATTGTTGAAGATGCTGCTGTTGCTGTTGCTGCAGTTGATGTTGATGATGTTGTTGCACAACCTGCTGATGGAGAGCCTGATGGTAGGCCGAATATGAACTAGACATCGGTTCCATCTTGACAATGGATCCCAAGCCATGCTGATCGATGCCATTTACATCCGATGACATCAAATCGTAGTACATGCTGCTCGGAGATTCCGAGGGACTCTGATGATACTTTGGGCTCATCATCGATCCGTTGGAGTGGTTATTATTGTTCAGATGGTACCCCATTGGACTGAGCGATGCTTGGTGGGTGGCAAGAACGTTCGCATTGGCTAGTGATGCACCAAATGGAGGCATCATAAAAACACCCTTTTGATGGCTGTACTTGCCACTGCCGATGTTATTGTTATTATTGTTATTGTTGTTGTTGTTATTGACAATGGCGCTAGTGGGAGTGCTGGTGATCGGTGATGGTACTTGCTGGGTGTACGAGATTGGCGACAGCTGGTTGTGATGTGATGGTGAAGGCGGTTGATGCGTTGGAGACATGTTACTTCCAACGCTTGACGGAGTCGAAGTGGATTGAATGATGCTGGAATGACCGACCGATGCCTTCAGTGATTTCAGTTCTGGAAGAAAATGAAAGTTAAAATTTAGGAGGAGTTTTCCAGAATATAAATATAACACTTTCAATGAAAACATCGCTTTCATATTATTGATCATCGGAATTCTTCGAAGTATTTTAAAAGCTTGTAAGCTGGAAAAGTTATGCATTTCATCATACCTCTCACTTAAAGATATTAGGGGAAATGTATGTAATGTCGGCCTAAGTGTCCCTAATTTGGGCCCATACATAAATTCAGCAATCGTCTAAATTTGCAATAGCAACCAAAAATATCCATTAGTACCGCCCCAATGACGCGTTCATCTAGATACAATTGATAAATAGCAGATTTTTAGCGATGGGCCCAATCTTAGATCCATAGGCCAACATTAGAACCATTTCCCCTATTTCTCCTCCATATATAAAAAAGTGATTAATAAGGTGCGCTTAGAGTTAAAAAGCAATTCATGATGGTATAAATTAAAACGAATAATCTCTCCATATTCGATCAAGTGCTGCTATACGACACACAGCATACAATGTAAATGCTGTGGGTAGAACCAAAGGAAATACTCCATAAGATAGGCAACCAACTTGCATGCAAGACTCGTGCGTGCAATTTGATGGCATTAAAGTGTGCTTTTAAGCTTAAACTTTTAAGCAGCTCATTTACAAAAGACAGGTCCAATTTAACCCATTAACAGAAAAAAATTAAACGCATGTTCGAAAATGGTTTTTCATCAATTTTACTACAATTATTAAATTTCCTAAATTAAATCTTTTAGAAAAAAAAATAGAATCGTTTAACAAAACTGCATTATGCTAAAGATCTGAACTGTATTGTTTGAAATAATGTTAAAAACCAACAACACAAAAATGCATCAAATCGAAACATTAATAACCTTCTCAAAGCGATCCATATTTGTTCGCAATTCTTGTTGCTGAAATGCGCGTTGGTGAAGTAGAAATAATGAAATGTTGAAATTTGTGCTAAAAAAGCCATCGAGTTTATCCTTCTAGCTTTCTCTCAAATTCGCCGTGTGGTGACACCCAAATCGCATGCCCCGGGTGCCACTGAACCAAGCTTTACCACTGACTATAATCACCCTTCAATCAGCGAAAATGTCATAATTGGTTAACCAGATGAATGCTTACTGTTCGAACTCAAAAGGTAATGCCTTGCTTTGCTTGAATTGGATTGATTTTCTCCATAGGGTGAAGGATCCTGTTCTGACAGTAGCAGCAGTATTTTGTCTTATAAGAAGTGAAGATTATACTAAATAAGGCTAACTTAAACCTAGGAAGAGCCGGAGTATCATTATTGGTTGTGAATAATTTCGAAGAGCTAAAAATAAGCAAATAGGGGAAATGGCTCTATGGATCTAAGATTGGGCCCATCGCTAAAAATCTGCTATTTATCAATTTTATCTAGATGAACGAGTCATTGGGACGGTAATAATGGATATTTTTGGTCGCTATTGAAAATTTAGTTGATTGCTGAATTTATGTATGGGCCCAAATTAGGGGCATTTAGGCCGACATTGCATCCATTTCCCCTACTACTCAATTTTACTCAACTCTAAATGTTGCACATATGAATCAATTATCATTCACAGTCATCTCCTAAAAAAAAACTCTGGGACAGCAACAGTGATAACATTCACCCGAATTCCATTTGCACGAATGAACCCAAATGAACCATTTCAGAATAATCTTTAATTCGTCTAACATAGAACAATTTTCTATAGCTTTGGAAAGCAGTAACCTTGAAACACAAAATTATTTTTTAGGCTACCGTAACAACTCTTAACTGTGTCTCATAATTCGATCATAATATGGTGCTGTGTTCGGCGAAATTACTTATTATACTTAATTTCGCTGAATCTAAATCTGAACTCAAATTTCATTATAATGAAAAATCTAAGCCATGGGTACCACAATACATTTTTTTTTATCTTGCAGATGCATGCAATGTCTTAAGTGAAAATAAATCCTCTCAGTAACGTCCAACCATTTTGAACAACTCTAAATAGCAGGTTGAGTACAATTATCGGAAAGCATGTGCAAAAGGCCTATGTGCTTAATATAAACAATGACTTTAGACATCGATTGCTCCCGAATCGGAACACTCCCTCGCAGTGGCAACGCCAAATGACGAATCGGAAAAAAACTCGACCCTTCTCCGATTTGTATGAAACTTTGCATAATAGTTTGTTATGGGTTTGATTCACATTTTTGCTAAAATTCGGTCATTTTGGAACTTGTAAAATTTTGAAAAATGGTGTCCTTGTAATTTAAATTTATAAATTGAAATTGAAAAATTTTAGGACGGAAATGGCACTTCTGATCAAAATGACATCTGAGATAAAGTTGAAGAAAATATATTGATTTTCTTTGAAAAATACACAAAAAAAATGTTTTCAACAATTTCAAACAAAAATTAAAAAATGTGTGATAGCTAAATATCTCACAATGTTACTTGTCCGAATTATGGAAAAAAAATTTTTGTTAGAAACAGGCTCATCAATAATGAAAACTTTGAAAATATTAAAAATTGTTGTACACTTCAAAATTGACAGAAATCGTAAAACAATAACTTATGGTAAAATTTTTAAACTTTTCGTTAAAACATTTTTCCATGTAATATATAATCAGTAAACAATTTTTCAGACACTTAATTTCGTTTTATGTGAAAAAATACTCAAAAAAGCGTACTTACAAAAAGTTCAAACATTTGACCAAAAGTTCTTGTTGTCAATTTTTCTTAGTTTTCAAGTTTACATATTTTAGAGAATTCCAAAATTGTATATTTTTCATAACCTTTTTTCCTCTGAAAAAAAATTCGGGTGGACGTTTTCAAATATTTGAGTTTTAACTTTTTTATTTTAATGAAAAACCTAGAGATGAACTAGCCTAAGGCTAAAAATCTCTTTAATAAAGAATTAAAAAAAAAAAAAATTAATGAAAAAAAAAAAAAATTTGTTAAATTTTTCACATCTTGTATTAATTTTTCTTAACATCTTTGTCGCAGACGTCATATCGGTCAGAAATGTCGTTTATGTGCTATAATTTTACATGATCCAAAATGGCCGAATTTTATCAAAAAATTTAATCATTGGCATAACAAACAATTACGCAAAGCTTCATGTAAATCGGAGAAGGCCGATTTAAAAATTCATTTTTTTTCCCTGGAACTACCTGCTGATAGAGTAAAATTCTTCTACCAGATGCTGGAACTGGTGTGCCTGAATGAGTCTTAATCTGCAAGAAAGCGACGTTTAAATTCAATATTTTCATTTGGCACATAGTCCTTGTTCACATGTTGATCTAATTATTAGATATTATTAAGCATAATCGAATTTAAAAGGAAGGCCAGTCCAGAGCTACTGATAGGTGCCTTGCTACAATAAGTGGTAGCTCCATATAATCATCAAATTCTGGCGTGCGCAGAAGGGGTGGCAAACAACTCTCAAACTGGCACTGTCAACTATTTTGATCATTTGAGAGCTGATTTTGGGCCTTTGGGAAACATCCACACAAGTTAAAATAGTCTAAAAGTTATCTAGAGTGAGTTTGTCATCCCTTGACATGCAATACTATGTTTAGGGTAGGGATATTAAAGCGTTAGAAATCAAAATGATGAATATTTAAAAATGTAGACTGTACAGATATTGTAAAAGCGTTTTTAATTTCTGCATAATTTTCAATAAAGATTCACAAACTTCGGGTAAATTGACCTATTATGGACCATTTTGTAGCTGTTTTAGCCGTTTATACTGTATTCATATCGTATTAATTATTGTTTCAGCAATGGTTTTCATTTATGGACCCTTTCCCCTTAGTATACCACTAACGGATTAATTTAAATTTACATCAAAGTTGAACTCATAAACTGGAAAATTCCATCGGAAAAACACCTTTTCCAGCTAATATCTGCATAGGATTCATGGAAAATATTGATCCAATGCACATTAAAACAAGGAAATATTGCGCATTTCACAACAAACTGTACTAAGAAGTACGTTTTCACTCATTAAAAATTGTGATTTAAGTGCGAGTTTCCATCTAATCGTCTTGCTTCGGTGGAATTATTTTTTATGATACAAGCAATAAGTGCTCGGAAGATACCAAAACGATTTGCCGGAAAAGTGCACTTCAGTACATCAGCCATAAACAGAGCACGCCAAGAGCTGTCAAATAAACAAAACTTCCAAATGTGTGTACCCTTTAGTGGACCATTTGTTTTTAATGACATTTTAACAAAATATGAGGCATGCAATTCAACCCCATCTTATATTTAAATGTTTAATGTGGATCTATTCTTGATGGTCCATCATATTTAGAATATTAACAATCCTGTAATCGACCCCCAGTGGTCCATAAAAGTTTCATGATGACTGCAACTTTTAATGTAGATATTCATGTATAAAATTAAATTATTTATTTATTTTACTTATCAGTCATACTAAGTAAAGGTTAAGCTGCACACTTGAAAAACATTGCTGAAACAATAATTAAACGGTTATTTTTTTTTTTTTCCGTCGATCTTGTCTACCGTACTAAGTACTACTGTGTTACCCGTGTTACCTGACTTATAACGAATATACGTTGTATACGAGTACCCCGAATACAGCTTATAGTTCGTCTATGCTTCACGGTGCAAATTTCCATCCTCATCACTCATTTGAGGGTTGCCCTATTCACCGCCAGAGGCTGAACCAATCGCTTACTTTCTATTGGATTCCCCTATTGATCTTAGTTGGTTAATTAATGGCACAAAGAAATGTGCAAAATATTGCGATGCAATCAATTATTTTTTCCTTGATTTGTTTTCCGTCGATCTTGTTTACCGTGCTGGGCACCAACGGCATTACTTTCCTTCCGAAGGAAAGGTGATCAGAGTTTTTATGCCTCAGAAAATCCCGGCGACGTCGGCGAACCCAGGCCAATTGAAAGGTTTTGGATTTACTTTAAATGGTTAAAACACCTACTAGGGGGTCCATAATAGGTCAATTTACTCTATGTATGTAGCAAAATAAATATTAGATTTAATGACATTGCAAATATCATATTACGAGTCTGTAGCTTAGCAATAATGCAACTTTCAAACTAACACCATGAAACGATTCATGAAAAACAAATGACGCTTGCAAAAAATTTAAGCTTCCTCTGTTTTCATTTCTTACGAGAATTGTAATAGTAGGGCTTACAAAAACCAGTTCCAGAATTTTTTGTTTTTCAAATCAAAACCTTCATATGATAATGTTCTACGTTTAATAAAACCGCCTATGTATTTACTACATAAAACATAGCTAAGATCAATTTAACACAATTATTTGACGATGACCACATTACAGATTCATTCGGTTAATTTATCTCACTGAAAGATAATCTTACATTCCCCAGTTATAACCTATTGAGAGACGTGTGACAATTCATTTGAAGCCTTACGCTGATATTGTAATGTTTTCAAGCACTTGCAATATCAAAATATTAAAAATCAATAGCAGAATTTTGCCATACACAAATCTCATCAACCGTGTTACCAAAGGTTAAGTCTACGGTGTCATCAAACATTTTCGTTTAGTCGTTTCCACTCACCATTGACAGAGTTGCCCAGTACGGACGAATTGATCGCGTTGCTTGAGTTGTTATTATTGCTGCTGCTAATGCTACCAGCGTGATTATTACTACTGCTGCTGCCATTGTTATTGGTGTTACTGCTACTGTTACTATTGTTATTATTGCTGCTGCTGCTCTTCGAGTTGGACGCTCCATCGGCATTTTTGCTGCCCTTAGGTTTGCGTTTGCGTGACTAAAATCAAAATTAAAACAATAACGAATGCTTAGGTTTCAAGCCTCTCCCAGTCCAATCTAAGACGGAAGACGGAATGGATTCGTCCTACCTGAATGTTGTCCTTCTTCATTGCCAACGGTCGGTTCACGTTATGCAGTTTATAGTACAGACCACAGGCATTGCAAACCGGCTCTCCAACCTGGTTGCGTCTCCAGAGCGACGTATTCGTCGTGTTACAGTTGGAGCATTGCAGTCCGACGCGTCGCGCTGAGCTCTGTCAGTAGAATTGGTTGGGATTGGGAGAACATGGGTTAAAATTTGTGCTTTTCAGTGTGAAAATATTGGAACGTGCAGTGATGATAGTGAACTATGAGATATTAGATGCTGGGGTAGAGAAAAAGAATCAGCCTTTGCCGTTTCGGTCAACCTACCAGTCGTCGGCTTTGCTTCTCCTCGGTGGTGCGAGTGGTCAAGGAATTGACATAGCCATAGTTCTTATAGAGTTCCCCGCCCTGTTCAGCGGCCACTGGAATAACAATTTTCATAACAAACAGGATTAGTTTATTTTCGCGCCAACTAGCACTGAATTTTTTGAGCTCAAAATGTCTAAAATTATCTACGCAACAGTTCCAGCGAAATATACTGCAATAGATCTATTTTTTATCATTCGGGAGACGCAAAACGATTGTGGAAAATTCGGCCGGGCGGGGTTCATAGAAAAAATCATCATACGAAGCTTATTCTTTTCCTCTCAAATCAAGCAAAAACCAATAGCAAAACGAAATGAGGATGAGTTTTTGGTAAGGGTAGAAGATAAAAATGAAGCAGATGTTTACAGGTTCTTTTACCAGACGTCTGGGCTGCTTAACCAACGGCCGATTCATTCCGTTCATCTTGTGATAGAGGCCGCATGCATTGCACAAATAGTGTCCAGTTCCGTCCCGGCGCCAGAGCGGAGTCTGAATCGCTCCACAATTGACACATTCTCGTCCCTCGGTAAACAAGTCCGCCTCTATGCCCACTTTTGAAAGGAAAGACACAAACAATGATGATAATAATGATTTGGTAAATTTGACTTCTTTGTACAATATGAGAGAGAAAATTATTTACACGTATACAAGACAGTAGCTAAAAGTTACATTTACTTTCCGTTTAATTATACTCTACAACCTATGAAACCACCCGGTCCGACTGTTCTTTGCGTTTTATTCTATTTCACGCATAAGCGCCTCACGAGTTCAAAAACCTACAGTGGCCTATTTGCATTTATTGTATCCTGCATGCTCTGCACCGCTGTTTTTTTTGCCAATTTCTACTTTCCAACCGACCGACCATAAAGCACCGAAGAAAAGTCCCCCATCGTCACCATTGTCACCGGTGACGAAGCTAGGATATCTGCAGTCTCTGTTAGAGTGTGTTTTGGACAGTTCTTAAATAATTTTTCTGAGACCTAATGCTTACTGGGTGATAAGCATGGAATAGTAATCTTAATGGAGATGTATTTCAAAAGAAATTATATAATTCCGGCAACCACCCTCTTACTACACCTATGCTTATGGTGACATTTTTCAGCCTCAGGAAGCAAATGGATCGTGTGTTTACCATGCATATACTTTATGCTTTCCCTCCTCTATACTGATAAGAACGAACCAAATCAAACCTTCCCTTCGTTTTAAAAAAACGTTCCATGCTGGTTATGTGTGTGTATACCATAAACCACTTATGTGCCCATTGTCCGTGAAAACATGGCACCACCATCACCAGTGTCTACAGCTGAGTGAAGCGGGGCAAATAATTACATTTTATGTTTTTTCTCGATTTCTGTTATGGCTCAAGCTACCGCCCGCAAGAAAACTAAAAAAAATAGCATGCTTTCCCCCGGGAAGTCCTTCCGATCCCCGGAGTGAACATTACTGTAGGTATTTCCGGTTTATGGTTTGTTTCTGTTATAACAACCGAATAGCATCTTGTCTAGCGGATGCTATGACTAATTGAAGAAAGTTGAGCAACATACTGCATGAACACGATCCTACCATAGAGGTAACTCTAAGACCACTGGGTCCCGAAGAAAATCATTATTATTTTTGGCTCACTCAGTACCAGAACAACGGTCCCAAGCAGTCCCAAGCTATTTCACTCACCCCTGCATGTTCTGCATGAATCCACACACCCCTGATGTTATCTGTCAAATTTTCATAGCGAATCAAAACAAACATAGTGTAGTAATAGAATTTCAACTAGAATAGGGTACGTTAATCGTTTGCTTGGGACCAATAGGCTACTAAAGTGGTGAGCCAATTTAAAATCGTTAGTTTCGTATTGATTGTTGATCCTACTGAGTAACCCACATTTTGAAACACACACAAAAACAGTACGACAAATATTTTGCTCAACGTGAATCGTTACAAAGAGTAATCGAACGGTAAGGTATTGATGATAAATTATTTAATTGAACGATTTATTATTTTTAATATATTATTAGCAAAAATTCTATCTATAAAAACAATAGCTTGAAATTGAGTGTCGGTTTTTATTAAGACTCAACTTACACACCCAACCGGGGGATGTAGGATTTGCTTACAATAATGAGGAATTCATCATCGCAGGATTTTAGTGGAGACCGCATAAACGGAGGATGAGATAAACCGAGCTGCGTTCCATTGTAAGAAAATTGGAGATAGAAAAAAGGTTGCCAGTCGAGCCCCGAAACGTTAAAATTAGCAGACTTGTGCTTTCTCCACTGCTCTCTCCATGCTTAGGAATATGGATAGGCTAAAAACGTATAAGAAGCACTCATAGTATGATAATTTGATTTTGTATGCTTATTCTGCTGAACTGGAATTGGAGAGAATCGAAGCAAGCGTGTTCGTCGTTCTGCAAAGCTATAAAGAAAAAGCTTGCTCGACATCAAAAAGAAGAAAAAATCATTGCATCGTCTGCATGGTCCATTTGTATCGTCCCCTGCAGTATTCGCTGCGGAGGATGATAGGAAATGCAACTAACATTCAATGTGATAAATTTTTGGTTTGCGTGCATGCAAAAATAAGCAACGAAATTAAAAAAAAAAATCCGTTATAGTCACTTTAACGCAATGACATTTATATAAGGTCTGGGCCAACATATACATATATAAGGTCTGGTGTTAGAAGCAAAAATTTTGTAAACATTGCTGAACATCTCCGAACAGATAGAAATACGTCACTGCCAACAGCTGTTTCGTGTAAAAAGATAAACATTTCAATAAAATACGAACACCACTAAATATTTGCACATTTCACTAACACCAATAAGCCCTTTGGCCCAGACCTTATATAAAAGTCATTGACTTTAACGCTCTTGGGTCATTCGTGAATTGCCCGGGGTGAGATTTGAACTCGTGACTTTGGCGTGAGAGGTATGAATGCTAACTAATACGCCGAGGTCATCCCAACGAACCTCAAATGTAAAACGCAACCTCTTTCTATTTCTTGATTCAATTACATCAAAAAGTGATAATAATTAACTTTATCGCTAAACCTACTCTAATTAACTATATCGCTAAAACTACTCTATACTCTAAAACTATTCTAAATACACCATAAAAAAAACAACTTTCATATGTTTAGGTTCATAAACCATCAACCATACTGGAGGAACATTTCCAGGTGTCATGGATCCCCAAATCGTACTGGAGCCCACATCAACCGGTACTGGTACAGGCCGGACTCGATTATCCGGAGGCTCGATTAACCGGAGAAAATGGCTCGATTATCCGGAGTCATATTTTTTTACCTATCTTGCAAATTATTTTGCATAAGCCGCTTGGAAAACCGACTTTCGATCCGAGGACGAGTAACATACATCGTTCGACTCAGTCTGACAAGATCGGGAAATGACTATATTTTAGTGTTTGTTTGCCTTTGTTACAAAATCCGGCGTTAAGGGGTTTTGGATTAACTTTGACCTGAAAGGAATCAAACATATCATGTGCCACATTAACATACAAAAATTGAATCCCATGATGGTCCGTTCACTAATAATGTCACGTTTCAGGGAGGGGGGGGGGGGCGGTGAATGGCAACCGAACAAAATTTTTGAAGATCCGTAGAAAAAATGTACCAAAGGGCCTTTAACCCTCCGTTACTCGCGATGTTGTACTTTGTACAACACACATGAGTTTTCCATTGCCATTTTGTTGCTGAGTTACCAATCGATCTGAAACCAACGAGTATTCCTCAAAAAACTTGTTTTGATCTAAACAAGCTAAACTTTGATTACAGTAAACACCTACAAAATGCGGATAATAGGGAAATGGAAACCGCGTAAACTGTGACCATACTACGTGGGATTTGACTTAATAGATTACAACATGGAATATATCGAGATTCTGACAAGATAGAAAGTTACTATCTCTGACAAAGTTGTTCAGGAGATCATAGCCTTGTCACTGGCGGACAGTAGTTTAGAATTTTCTCACTACGTAGCGCTAGTATACATGTGAAATTCTCGCATGTGATATATCTCGAGATCTTCGCATTTTTATGGGTTAACTGTGATAAAATTTTAGCTTGTTTAGTTAAAAACAAGTTTTGTAATGAATACCCGTTGGTTTCATATCGATTGGTAGCTCGGCTGCAAAATGGCAATGGAAAACTAACACTGTTGTACAAAGTACAACGCGCGAGTACTCGTGTTATAAAAGTTGGCGCGAGTAACGGAGGGTTAAAGGGGGGTTTCGTGATAATTGGTCTTTTGGTGGCTTCATATCTGAAAATTTATATCAATTTTCTCATCTTATTTTGTAGTTCAATTAATTTATTCATCATTTCAGTAAAAACAGTAGTTCATCAGTAAAGTGATTCAGTAAAAACAAAGAGAATTGCAAATTTGATCATAAATCAATCCTAATTGACTATTTTATCAAGAATATTTCACCTGATTTCACGAAGTAAAAACTGCCATTCCAACGGCAATTGGTTTTCATCAGCCCATGTGATGATAGTGTCAATACTGTTCAGCGCTGATTGATCTGGAACTGGTTCGTACTCCTCATCTTGGTTGTCATCTGCTGTAGAAATGTTTGAAGTTTCATCCAGAGTGGTGTTCGTCACGCTTTCTTCTTCATGAAAATGTGAATCATGGTTAAGAACAGCATTGACTATGTCAGCATCAGACATGACATTGAATTCCGCATTCTCGTCTTCATTTTCGCCTGCAGCGGCTTCGTCAGTTGAATTGTTACACTATCATCCCTAGATCACCGGAACTCATATTTGCAATGTTAATATTTCAAAAATATTAATGGAAAATGGTTGAAATTGATCGAGTGCGTCAAGTTAGGAACCTCGTCATATATGGTGCCTTCACGGTAGCCGTGATTTTTAGTCAAGCTTAACTTTGTCTCTACACACTCGTGAGAGTCGCGAGACTACGATTTTTCTCAAGTGGAGGGGTCCCATGGCGTGGTTGGCTACACGTTCGCTTCTCAAGCGGATGGTCCATGGGTTCAATTCCATTGATCTTCTTATCGAATTTTGATGTATTTTAATGTGTCTCATGATAGGTTATTATCCAAGTCCGATTCTGGTCACTTTTCTGGGGCACCTGGAACTTGTCCGGAAGTGACAATATGGTCCAAGGTACTTAATTTTGTCCACCATTGATCTGGTTATCGAATTTTGATATAATCTGATGTGTCGCATGATAGGTTATTATTCAAGTCTGGTTCTGGCCACTTTGCCGGAGGCACCCGGAACTTGCCCGGAAGTGGCCAATATGGTCCAAGGTACTTAATTTTTGCCACCATTTATCTTGATATCAAGTTTTGATTTAATTTGATGTGTCGCTTAATGGGTTTTGTTCCTCTCAAGTCAAATTTAGCCTCATGGCCCATAAACGCCGGAACTTGTTCCGGCCATATCTACAAAACTAGTGGTCCGATTCCATAATCCTTCAATAGCGTTCAATGGGACCACTAAAAACATTAAATGAGACCACATAAGACAAAAAAATTTTTTTTTTGATGGCTCGATTATCCGGAGG